ATGCAAATTATATTTTTTCCATGACAATAGTTTGAGTATTATCAAATCATAGTTTTACCCAAGATTTTATAAGGTTATAATTGATACTAATCGATTACGCATCACTTGACTTTATAAGTGAAGACACATATTACAGCTTAGATACAGTTAGAATTAAGTAATTTAGTTAATTGTAACTTTTCTTTAGAAATTTTTCATTTATACTAAAATGCTTACGTTTTAGATATGCTTTCTACGTTTCTGTACTATTTCAGAATCCTTAGAATAAAATTTTTTTTACTGCAAGTTATGTATATATTTTTTTATATTTTCTGCAGAGAAGTTTATGCCTTTGACGGAAATTGGTACAAATTTGAAGCTAATTTTATTTACAAAAACTAGGCAATTAATTATTTTTGATGTATGAAATTGAAGTTTTGAAATTTGAAGAAAAAAGATAATCTGCTAGGAAATTTCACTTTCTCAATAGGGATACTCAAACATACTTCAACTTCATAGAGCAGTTATTTTGATAAACTGACAATTCTATAATTTAAAATCAAATTTTTTTGTTTTTTTAAGCATATAAAAATCAATATGCTTTTCGAAATCCCCGGCTGTTTTGAATACATAAATGAGTTTTGTAAAAGCTTTCTTTACCACAGTCATAATGACAGCATATCTGGTTTTTTTCAGGCTTTGTTAAAAATACGTGACAGATTCCTTCAAAATTTCCAAATCGAATTGGAGAAAAAGTTTTAATACTTGTTACCAAAATTGACTTTTGAAATACTGCTTCTTTAAAAACTAACCTTTAAAAAACCGTGCTAATATCCTGTTGAACAGTTTACGGCTTCTAAAAAAGAATCATCTGTGAATGAAAAACAGATCTTAAAAGCTATTTGATTGGCAGGTCTCCCTTATTTCAGGCGCCATGCAAGCTGTTGTAATCGCAGTGGCTGCAACACTTGTCGCAAAAAGTTCGGCTTTTGGACAGTCTAGAGCTTTATGGAATTTAGGAAGTATGGGCAGCTGTAATTTAGGTTACTATCCTTTGGTGTACTACAACGGCTATGGATGTTGGTGCGGAATGGGTGGAAGTGGAACTCCGGTAGATGAAATTGATGAGTTGGTTTTTCTAAAATTTGCTCAAATTTTTAAAATTTTAGCAGTTTTAAAAGCGATGTATAGCATACTAGCTTCAGAAACCGAAGTTTGATGTGTATATCAGGATTACATATTATTTTCACTTTTTTTCAAGGCCTAACTTTATTGCACTAGTTAAGCAAATGATGATTTTAGTAACCGATATTTTTCATAGAAACATGGATCTGTATTATGATATGTACATTTTCTAACTCTACAGGCAGTGGCTTTAAATCATGAATTTATTTACTGACATTTCTAGATGCTGCAAAATGCATGATCTTTGCTATGACAGAGCTATAGGCGAAGGGAAGTGTAAGGATGTTGCTGCGGCATACTTTACTCCTTATGACTGGCAGTGCGTCAACAGTACGGTGGTTTGCACAAGTATGATTATGACAATTTTTCATCTAGAAAGTGCTATTGATTTAACTGGCAAACGATAATCTGTTTATTGGTTTGACTAAATAAAATTTTGGTAATTTTGTTAGTTACCAACATAATTAGCATTTTTGGCATATGTCACTTTTTGTACAATACAAGCGATTATTCAGGTACTTCACATCCATGTAAAGCGGCAATGTGTAACTGCGATAAAACAGTGGTCGAATGTTGGAAAAAATATCCTCAGCCGACGAAGCTTGCTCGGTGTTCATCTACTTCTAACTAGCGCAAAAAAAAAAAAAAAAAAAAAAAAAAAAAAAAAA